GATCATATGGTTTTTGTCCTTTTTTAAAAAAATTAAAGTGCTATACCACATTGATTGATTTGTGGATGTTGAACCAACTTTGCAGCCCAGGAATAAATCCCACTTGGTTGTGGTGAATAATCCTTTTAATGTGCTGTTGGATACTATTAACTATTATCTTGGTGAGAATTTTTGCATTCATATTCTTCAGGGATATTGGTCTGTGATTCTCCTTTTTGGCAGGATCTTTGTCTGGTCTTGGGATCAAGGTAATGCTGGCCTCAAAGAATGAATTTGGAAGTTTTCCTTCCATTTCTATTTTTTGAAACAGCTTCAGAAGAATAGGTATTAATGCTTTTTTAAATGTTTGGTAGAATTCCACTGGGAGGCCACCCAACCCTGAAGTTTGTTTGTTGGAAGATTTTTTATTACTGCTTCAATTTCTTTGCTAGTTATGTCTCTGTTCAGATTTTCTATTTCTTTCTGTTTTTATTTTGATAGTTTGTATGTTTCTAGGAATGCATTCATTTCTTCCAGATTGCCTAATTTGTTGGCATATAGTTGCTCATAATATGCTCTTATAATTGTGTTTCTTCAGTGTTGGTTGTGATCACCTCTTTCATTTATGATTTTATTAATTTAGGTCCCTTCTCTTCTTGTGAGTCTGTCTAGGGGTTTATTGATCTTGTTAATTCTTTCAAAGAACTAGCTCCTAGTTTCGTTGATCTGTTCTACTGTTCTTTTGATTACTAGTTCATTGATTTCTGCTCTAATCTTTATTAATTCTCTTCTCCCCCTGGGATTAGGCTTTATTTGCTCTTCTTTCTCCAGCTTCTTATGGTGTAAGGTTAGGTTGTGTATGTGAGATGTTTTTTGTGTCTTGATAAAGGCCTGTATTGCTATATACTTCCCTCTTAGGACCACCTTTGCTGCATCCCAAAGGTCCTGAATGGTTGTGTTTTCATTTTCATTTGTTTCCATGAACTTTTAAAATTCTTTTTAAATTTCCTGGTTGACCCATTCATTCTTTAGTAGAATGCTCTTTAATCTCCATGTATTTGTATTCCTTCCAAATTTTCTCTTGATTGGGTTCAAGTTTTAAAGCACTGTGGTCTGATAATATGCAGGGAATAATCCTAGTCTTTTGGTACTGGATGACACCTGATTCATGGCCCAGTATGTGAAGTATTCTGGAGAATGTTCCATGTGCACTCAAGAAGAATGTGTATTCTGCTTTAGGATGAAATGCTCTGAATATCTCTCTGAAGTCCATCTGGTCCAGTGTGTCATTTAAAGTCCTTGTTTACTTGTTGATCTTCTGCTTAGATGATCTGCCCATTGCTGTGAATAGTGTGTTGATGTTTCCTACTATTAATGTATTATCAATGTGTTTCTTTATTTAGGTTATTAGTTGGTTTATATAATTGGCTGCTCCCAAGTTAGGGGAATAAGTATTTACAATTGTTAGATCTTCTTGTTGGATAGACCCTTTTATTCTGATATAGTGTCCTTTGCCGTCTCTTATTACAGTCTTTGGTTTTAAAATCTAGTTTGTCTGATGCAAGCTACTCCAGCTTTCTTTTGATGCCCATTAGCATGGCAAGTTGTTCTGCACTCCCTCACTTTCAATCTGGAGGTGTCTTTGGGTCTAAAATGAATCTCTTATAGACAACATATCAATGGGTCTTGTTTTTTAATCCATTCTGATATCCTGTGTCTTTTGATTGGAGCATTTACATTAAGAGTAATTATTGAAAGATATGAATTTAGTACCATTGTATTACCTGTAAAGTCCTTGTTTCTGTATATTGTCTATTCCTTTCTGGTCTTTGGTACCTTTGGGCTGTCTCTTCACTCAAAGGATCCCCTTTAGTATTTCTTGCAGGGCTGGTTTAGTGATGACAGATTCTTTCAGTTTCTGTTAGTCCAGGAAGCTCTTTATCACTCCTTCTATTCTGAATGAGAGCCTTGCTGGATAAAGTATTCTTGGATGCATATTTTTCTCATTTAGCACTGTGAATATATCATGCCAGTCCTTTCTGGCCTGCCAGGTATCTGTGGACAGGTCTGCTTCCAAACCTATCTTTCTACCCTTGTAGGTTAAGGACCTCTTGTCCCCAGCTGCTTTCAGGATTTTCCTTTATCTCTGAGATTTGCAAGCTTCACTATTATATTTTGAGGTGTTGACCAATTTTATTGATTTTGAGCGGGTTCTCTGTGCCTTCTGGACTTGAATGCCTGTTTCCTTCCCCAGATTATGGAAGTTCTCAACTATTATTGGTTTAAGTAAACTTCTGACCCCTCTCTTTCCTCTTCCTCTGGGACTCTAATTATTTTAATATCATTTGTTTATCTCTCTTTCTCACCATTTTTATTCTCTGTCATTTTATCTTCTATATCACTGACTCTTCAGCCTCATTTATCCTAGCAGTTAGAGTCTCCATTTTTTTATTGCATCTTAGTAATAATCGTTTAGACTTCAGCCTGATTATAGTTCTTTTATTTCTCCAGTAAGAGATTCTCTAGTGTCTTCTATGCTTTTTTCAAGCCCAGCTAGTGCCCTTTATAATCATTGTTTTGAATTCTAGTTCTGACATCTTACTTATATCCATATTGATTAAATCTCTGGCAGTGAGTACTGCCTCCTGTTCTTCTTTTGGGGGGTGAGTTTTTCAGTCTCATCCTTATGTACAGAAAAGAATAGATGAAAGAGAGAAAATACAAAAATAGCAACAACAATACCAAAAAAATATGCACTAAACAATTTAGAAGATAACAGAAAACAAACAAACAAACAAACAAACAAAAAAATAAAAATAAAAATAGAGAAAGAGAGAACAGTCAAACAAGCTGTAGAAGAGAACGCAACAGTAAATTAGATCCTGGGTGTATTTTGGTCCATTTTTTAGAAGAAACTAGGTCCTAAAATAGGAAAGAAAGAAAAACTATATATAAAAATAAAATTGAATACAAGGAAACAAAAAATGAAATATATATATATATATAATGTAAATGTAAAAATAAAAATAAAAAAAAGACTTAAAAAAAGAATTGATAAAATAAACTAGCTGAAAAGAAAAAATATAAAATGGAAAGACTAAAGAATAATGAGAAAAAAACCACAAATGCTGTATACTGTTTTCCCCAAGAGCTAAAGTTTTGCAGTTCTCTGTGATTGGTAAATTTGGTATTAACTAGGTGTTTGTGCTGGTCTTCTGGGGGAGGGGCCTGTTGTGCTGATTCTCAAGGTGTCTTTGCCCGGACAGAATTGCACCCCCTTGCCAGGGGACCAGGCTCAGTGTAAGCAGTTCCAGATTGCACTAAGTAGTGCTGTTTTGCTCCCTGAAGGCTTTCAGCACTGATCGCTTTGCGGGGGGGGAGGATGAAAATGGCAACACCCCAATATCTAGTCCCAGAGCTGACAGTTTGTGTACCCCACTCTTCAGTGAGTCCTTACAGAAAAGCAATTGATCACTCTTGTCTCCCTGTTTTTTTTTCCCTCTCCCTCTGAGATTTTAAGGAAAATAAATCATTATTTTCTTTAGTTGAAGTGAAAAAACTGCTTCCTAAGTTCATATGTTTCCTTGAGAGGAAACACAGCAAATGTAATTAAGAGATAAACTATGATATAATCCTCTTCAAATTCCATGCTGTCCATAGACGTACTTCATAGTCTCCATAACTATCTAGCTGAATTCCAGGGACTAGATGAAATTAGGGTCCCCTATGCCTCCACCATCTTCACTCTGAACTTTACATGTAGATCAAACCTTGCTCTTTGCTCTAAGCCTGGGAAGTTTTTTCTCTCTCACTCCTCTCCCACTCCCATATACTTCTGGAACAGGGGCGTATACTCTGTGTTCTGTGGAATGGTCCACAGAGGTGCTTTAGACTTTCTGTAAAATTCAATTTGAATGCTATTTAAATATACTTATAATTGTTTAAAAAAAAAACTATAAGGAAGTATCCTAGACCAAGTTCTAACATGCCAAAGACTACCTCCTTATTTGGGACTGGCGAGTTAACTCATTTTGTGCAGATTCTGCTATCTCTGTATATGTTTGAGGTTCTTATAAATTTGTCTTTGATTAAGAAGGTGATAATTCCAAGCTGCTCTTTCATTTGTGTGTATGCATTGTTTGTTTTCTTTTTTGACTCTAGACTACCCATGTTGAAATTTAGGCCTGACAGTATTATAGTAGTGAGTTCCCTGTCATGGCCCTTGGTCAGGGTTCACATGTGTCTAGGAGGCTCAGTGCATCTTCTTGGAGGATATACTCCTCAAGTCACATGGTCAACCAGGTAGTAATAAGATAAAGTACAACGTGGCCATCATACCATATTTTAGATAGTCTTAAAAATTCTTTTAAATTGGAGAGACTTGTTTGCTTTTTAGAAGTAAACTAAGGAAAATCAAGCAGTTCTTAGAAATTGTTAGTGATTCAGCTTTGAAACAAGAGTTTCCCAATTTTCCTCTTTCAAATTTTTGGGTTAGCTTCATTGTTTTTTATTATTATTGTTGGTTACATCATAGAGTATTCTGAGATTATTATGTAATTAACTCTCTTTTTAACTACTCCCGTTTCCACCCCTTATACATCAATGGGGACGTTCTGTGTACTGTGCATTGAGACAAACTATAGAAAGAATATGGATCCTGAATCTGATAAGCAAGTAGTTGGCATCCTTAATTATGGATTCTCATTTTTATGGTTTTAGTTGACTTCACAGTAAGTACTCTACATTTGAGCTTAACAAGTTTGAAATAATAAAATACTACTTTTATCTTTTTGATGATGTAACATTCTACTTTAAAACAGGGTATACCTGATTATAAAAGTTTAAACCCACACTTTCTAAAAGGATTGTATTAGAAGCAAAGCTGAATAGCCTGTCCTGTAGAGAAAAGTCAATCAGAAGCTGCCATCACATTAATCACATTAAGTGGTGAACAGACTTTTAGAGGCAGATGTTGCTTTTATATCAGATGCAAACATTGGTAGCATTTCTCGCCCAACTACCTGTTTGGTCCATTTCTCTAATACGGACTTCTGGATCCCAGCAGTTCTCTTGGATCACTCTGAAGACCTTCCCATCTTTCAGCATCTTTGCTTCTCCCTAGGGCAGAAAACTCACATTAGCAAAAGGTTGACATAGGCTTACTTAGATTTATTCTTCCTTGTATGCTTTGGAACATGTGTTTTGGAACATGGTTCTCTACATGTTCCAAAATTTGGGGGGGGAGTGGTTTACTTAATCCTTAGAGAAGTAGAAGTCTATTCATTTAATGGGACTCAGCTTTTCATCTTCATGCCTTAATGTTGGCCTGGAATTGAAGAGGTGTGCTCTCTTCATGTCAGTGACTGGACACAGAACAAGGTCATGGTTATGGCCTTTTGGGGCTGCATACTGAGGATGGCTGGTCATCTTGCTGATCTCAACTGCTGGCTACAGGACCTGAGAGGATGGCCAGTGTCTGGAAAACTCCAGACCCATAACATTAGACTTGGAAAGGGCCTTTGAGATAGACTGTCTAGTCCAACCCTCTTGTTTTACAGAGAAGCAACAGATGGATAGTGACAGTAAATGAGTTGTCTAACAGAGCAGGGTTCACTGATGTCAACACCTGCAGGACAAGGCAGACAATGAAGTGAATCAGTCTAGTAGCAGGTATGAAATTCGGTGCTAAGTTGTTAGCTTTCACCAGACATCATGCCTGCCTGTGTATGTTACATTTAATACTCAGTGCAAAGAGTCCTCTAAAGTGGACTTTCAATTTGTAATTCCTAAAGAAAAGGGAAAGGTGTGATCAAGGTCCCTGAAATCATAGTGATCAAGTTCAAATCCCCACTCTACCACTTACTGTGTAAACTTGAGCAAGTTAAACAACATCTCTGAGCCTCAATTTGCTCATCTTTAAAATAGGAATAATAATGTGACTTAACTTGAACGGATCTTGTAAGCATGAAATGGGATAATCCATTTAATACACTTAGTGGAGTTTCTGACACAAGTTAAGTGCTAGTTATTCTAAGTATTAGTTTTTAATGATGTATGGCTAATTAGGGAATAGGCTATCTTCTGATATTCCCCTGCTTTGATGGCACATCACCCCTGGTGGTGCTTCAGGGCCTCAGGATTGCCCTTGCGCCCTATGTGATGGCTGAATGGTCATGTGGTGATCAAAGGCCTTGAGCTCTGCTTGGTGGAGTCTTTCACCTTCTTCCTCTTCCTCTAGGCTTGATCGTGAGTGGTACACAGGCCCTGCCACAGCTTTTTTCTTCATCCTTTTATTCCTTGGGCAAGACCTTCTCCATCCCACGCATGGAGAAATTTGACCACTTTTCACCTTCAAGTGTGGCAGCCCATTCATATCTGGCATGCATACGTAAGACCTCACATCTAAGTTTTCATTTCTCATGGCTGGGGAAAAATCAGTGAACAACGACTTGTATACTTGAGATAGCTGTCCATACCTAGGCAGACCTGAGTCTCTTGACATTAGGACATCATGATTTATTTGCCTCAGTTCCCATCCTTTGTTGACCTGGCAGCATCTGAATCACCTTCCCAGATTGGGCAATCTCCTGTGAGAGTCTTGGTGGAGGCAGGTTCCAGATACCCTCTCATAAAGCCTCAGAGCCCCAGTGCTTGCTCTCCTTGCCCCAAGTTTGACCAGCAATACTTAGTTTTTAATCTAAATGCAAAAAAGACAGGATTGGTGAATTCTGCCAGTGATTTCAGCAGTGGCCCTGTGCTGTATCCAACGGCAGTAGTGCTGGTGGCAGTGTTCAGTGTCCATCTGGGAGGCAGCAGCTCCCTAGCCAGGCTAGGGAGTCCTATGATATGGCCTTGGCTGTGGCTTCAATCACCTGAACATCTTATGAGTGGTTCCCTAGGCATTTGCAATTCTGGAGGGGCTTGAGACACTTGCAACCAATTCCTTTTTTGCTTAAACTGGCCATTATTGGTTTCTGTTGTTCACAACAAAGATTCCTGAATGATACCGATTGCACAAATAGAATATGGGAACATGTGTCTTTCTATTTAGTGAAGAAGGGAGGGGAGAGAATGACAATAAAAGAAAAAGTGAAGAAATAAACTTTTATTTGGCAAATTAGAGACTTTATTTTTCTTTTGCTCCTAAGTAGAAAAGCTTAATCACTATAAAGTACCCAGGATAGCAGAGTGCAGAAAGAACATGCATTCCAACAGACCTGGGTTTAAAATCTCATGAAGTTACTTTCTACCAGTAGAAGAGGATTGGTTAGGGGATTTCTCAGTTGGAGCCTCACTTCTTCTATCTGCAAAATGTGGACAATTATATTTGTCATGCTGTGGCCACCCAGCATCTCTGGAACACTTCCGTGTGTGAAGAAATTTTATGATGGTGAATCCAGAGTTCACTTTCCCAGCCTCCCTTGTAGCGAGGGTACTAACAAATTGCAGAAACTACCTTCTGGTATGGGTGTTGTCTGAGGTGCCAGATGTGGCTGGAGCAGAAATGTCAATACTCTGGTTTCCAGTCTCATCAGCATCAGCATCAGCATAAGTTTCTTGTCTGTGGCCAGGCACTTGCCTTTTTGGTGGAGCAGCCCCCCTCAGGTATGTTTCGGCATTGTCCATGTTAGCACAACCTCATGGTTTGATTGCTTGTCTTCCCAGGAGGTTTGTGAGCTGCCTTTCTTCTTAAGCAAGATAGAGTGGGTTCTGTTGTTTGCCACTAAGAACTGGGTGAAACAGAAGATTCAATAATAGAGTATTTGTAAAGAACCAGGTCAGAGAACATGCTTCAACATTTCAGGCCAGATTTTACCATATGTTATTAATGGCAAGGGAGGAACATGGGTTTCTCTGGGAGATGCATGAGTAAGTTTTGGTTTTAGATAAAGCAGGACGCATTATAGCAGAAATGGATCATTTAGTTCAAGTCTTGCATTTAATAGTAAGTCCATAAAACGCAGTGACTTGTCCAAGGTTATAGATCCATTTTCCATATCACCAAGCTGATATTGGTAATTGGTATCTATTTAGTAGGCAAAGGTTAATTGCTTTCACTTCCTATAGAGTCTGATGTTTTGAGAGGATGGCCCTCACTACATGGAAGGAGAATTGGACTCACTAAACTCTCTCTACATCCTTTATGCTGGATCCATGGTAAGGCTAATGAATGGCAGCAACTGTCAGTAGAACCTTTTCTGAGTGAAAAGTACCACAGAGCAGCTGTACCCTATAATAGGCTCCCAATCTGCATTGTTTCCTAAGCCAGAATTTTGGGAGAATCAATTCCTGATCCATCTCACTTTACATTTGGGAACTCAGTATCCCTGCAGGGCTGTTAATGTGCCTCAGAAGGCAGCACCTGCTGCTGGGGGAGGGACAGAGGGGTTTCCTAGGTTCTGTTTTTAAATTGACCTCGATATCAACCAAGATCTTAAACTAAACTAATAATCAAGTAATTGGTGTAAGCTGCTCTAATTTATTCAGCCCACAAACAAATCCTGTTTTTCTAAACTCTCAAAAGAAAACCAAGTTGTTGTTTTTTAAGGAGTGTCCCCCAAGCGGCGTGCCTGGCTGGCTCAGTCGGAAGAGCATGTGACTCTTTTATTCCCCCCTTTGAAAGATTTTTATTTATTTATTTTTGTTTTGTTTTGTTTTAAATTTTTTTATTTGTCTGTTTATTTATGTATTTTATTTTTTCCAGTGTTCCAAGATTCATTGTTTATGCACCACACCCAGTGCTCCATGCAATATGTGCCCTCCTTAATACCCAACACCACGCTCACCCAACCCCCTCTTCTCCCCTCCAAAACCCTCAGAGTTCACAGTCTCTTGTGGTTCGTCTCCCCCTCCGATTTCCCCCAATTCACTTTTCTTTTCCTTCTTCTAATGTCCTCCATGTTATTTCTTATGCTCCACAAGTAAGTGAAACCAGATGATAATTGACTCTCTCTGCTTGACTTATTTCACTCAGCTTAATCTCCTCCAGTCCCGTCCATGTTGATACAAAAGTTGGGTATTCATCCTTTCTGATGGAGGCATAATATTCTGTGGTATATATAGACAATATCTTCTTTATCCATTTGTCCACTGAAGGGCATCTTGGTTCTTTCCACAGTTTGGCAATTGTGGCCATTGATGCTATGAAGATTGGGGGTACCATGGCCCTTCTCTTCACTATATCTGTATCTTTGGGGGTAAATACCCAGTAGTTCAATTACAGGGTCAAAGGGTAGCTCTATTTTTAATTTCTTAAGGAATCTCCATATTGTTTTCCAAAGTGGCTGGGCCAAATTTCATTCCCACCAACAGTGTAAGAGGGTTCCTCTTTCTCCACATCCTCTCCAACACTTGTTGTTTACTGTCTTGTTGATTTTAGCCATTCTAACTGGTATAAGATGGTATCTCAATGTGGTTTTGATTTGAATTTTCCTGATGGCTAGTGATGATGAACATTTTTTCATGTGTCTGTAAGCCACTTGTATGTCTTCTTTGGAGAAGTATCTGTTAATGTCTTCTGCCCATTTTTTGACGTGATTATCTGTTTTGTGTGTGTCAAGTTTGAGTTCTTTATAGATCTTGGATATCAGCCCTTTGTCTTTAGTATCATTTGCAAATATCTTCTCCCATTCTGTGGGTTGCCTCCTTGTTTTGTTGACTTTTCCTCAATTTTTATTTTTTTATGTTAGTAACCATACAATACATCCTTAGTTTTTGATGTAGTGTTCCATGATTCATTGTTTATGTATAACACCCAGTGCTCCATGCAATACGTGCCCACCTTCATACCCACCACCAGGCTCACCCATCTCCCCACCCACCTCCCCTCTAAAACCCCTCACTTTGTTTCTTGGAGTCCACAGTCTCTCATGGTTCATCTCCCCTTCTGACCCCCCCCTTCACTTTTCCTTTCCTTCTCCTAATGTCCTCCATGTTATTCTTTATGTTCCATAAGTAAGTGAAACCATATGATAATTGACTTTCTCTGCTTGACTTATTTCACTCAGCATAATCTCCTCCAGTCCCATCCATGTTGATGCAAAATTTGGGTATTCATCCTTTCTGATGGTTGAGTAATATTCCATTGTATATATGGACCACATCTTCCATTCATCTTC